CAACCGATAGGAATGGGATGAAATAACGTTTAGGAATTGTGGCATTATTTTGGCGTCGGAAATCGCTCTAAATGTTACGTACTTAAATACGAAAACTGTCTGTAGATACGAAACGGAAAAGACCTATAACGTTGCATCAAGTGAAAGGTTACCAAAATCACACGGAATACTAATTGGAGGAGTGATGTACATGGGTGATATGAAATGGAACATTTGGAGTCAATTTAATGGTACTTTTTAATGGTACGGAAGAAATTTGCGTAAATAGTAATTGTGTAACTTACTGCTGATGCTTTGAAGATAACGTGGAATGAGACCTAATGTTGTGTATCTGCAGAAATAAGAAACGGAGAACTATAATGAGGAAGGCATCAGTGTGTGCATGTTTAATGGCATAGGGAGAGACGTGCAGCAATCAGATAAGGAATAGTGGCTTACTAACATCTTTTGTAGTTTTATTGAGCTCGTAAATGTTTACTATTGAAATAGGATGCGGGCCATTTGTTTCATTTGTTTTGGTCAATGAGGATGAATAATCGCATTAATTAAATTTGTTTACGTATGTTTACGTTTTTTTTTTCAAGGTTAATGCAAATAAGAATATGTGTGCATTTGCTAATTTGTCCGCGTTCATGTAGAAGGGGTAAAATGATAAGGCGTATATACATATATGTATATATATATATACATATATATATATATACATATATATATATATATGTATACATATATATATATAATCGTTCTTATATAACCCAATTTGACATGTACGCCGGCAACTTAGCAAATGCACACACATTCTTATTTGCATTAACCTTGGGAAACACGTAAACATCCGTCAACGAATTTACTGATTGCGCTTAATCATCCTACTTGACCCAAACGAATAAACCCCATATATATATATTTATATATAAATGTATATATATATGTGTGTGTATGTATATACATAAATATGGAAGGCACACATGTAACTCTCTCTCTCTCTCTCTCTCTCTCTATATATATATATATATATATATATATATATATATTTATATATATATACATATGTATATATATATGTATATGATTAGGCGGCGTCCGTATCCCGATTTGCCTGTCACTGTGATGTCCATGGGGACAGTCACAGGACGCCTGCGCCTATATATATATGTATATGCATAATAATACACAGACATAGTTTTAAAGGTACTCCTGATAATACCCCTTCTACCTACATATATATAGATGTATATGCATAAATATACACATATATATATATGTATATGCCAGTTTCTATGTTGTCGTCATATGTTTGTATAGATGTATATATATATGTAGAAACATATAAATACACAACTATATATATTTGTGTATATATATATATATATATGATGAACATGTGTATTCATTGGTGGAATATACATGCATACCTACACAGATGGGTAAGCAATTAGTACTTGCATATAATGATGTATGCCTTCAACGAATAGGTATGCAGGAAATGGCGTAGGAAAAGGAATATATGGGTACATGTGTATATATGTATTTACGTATATATATATGTATATATATATATGTACATATAATGCAGGACACTGGTATACCTGATGCCTTGTGAGATGCGTTGGAAATATTTACCTGTTCGTATGATGGCTTTCTAAAGTAATCCTGTTTGCTTACCACTTCGTAAGGAAATCGACCTATCATCACTGCGTTTACATTATTGAGTAATGCGCTTTAGTAGCAAATGCAATGCTCCTTGAATGGCATGTTGCAAGAAATAGTGAAATCTGATCGTCATAGGGTGCTCAGCAGCTAATTAACGTCTGCTATTGTGTGTCACTGTGCATACCACTGGGGCTTTGCTAGATAAGTAATGATATCAAACCAATGGTAATCAGTGAGGATGTATCAATGATTAATCAAATGGCCGCTGCTGTACGTGTGGGGAGACGCTCCGGCATGGTTAATTGTGCAAGTCGGCGCGAATCACCACGGTGTTTCTTTGGGAGGGGTTAATCCCATGATTTGGTACCACAGGCAATAGGTGTACGCAGTGTATCAGTCACCGTCTACCCTGGGCTATGGTGCTGCCTGTGTGTTATGGAACCTCGGTATGTGTCATGGTCACTTGGAGGACACCGGGCGCCTGTTCATGTATACCTAACAAACAGGTGCACTGCTTTCTGTATTACCATGCATCATGCTTGATTCCAAGAAACAAACAATCAACGAATCGTTTGAAAAGTATGCAGTGCATTGGACGGCTTTACTCCGTCCATGTTATTATAATTGCCCATGCAGACCGGAGGCATCATTTCTGAACGGCGGTGCACATGCAATGCGGAGGGACGAGTACGGGGAAATTAGTTGTTGTGAATAAACTTAAGCGTGACATAATGTTACTGTGATGAACGTTGACGGTGGATGATAGATTGTCAGCACGCCACAGGTAAAAATGGGATGCTCAGGGAACCTTACTAACCTTTGGTATTGAGAACAGTTTCGTTGACTTCCGTGTATGAACTGTGTCACGAAGGGTATTGGCCACACTGCAGGCGGATGATGTTTAAACCATTCACAAATATTCCCGACCTTGTGGGTGATGTGTTTCAAGGCTCCATACCCACTATTCGGGTAGCCTGAGAAATGGTTCATTGATCCTTGGAACAAGTAGGGGACCATGACTGTACAACTGCGTCAGCAGGTACCTGCAATGGAAAGGCGCATTAAGTGCAATGGCTGGTTGATGTGGATAACTAGGGACAGTATACAGGTGATGAGTTTGCTGAGACGGGTTGCTCGATAGAGAATACAGGCATATGGATACCATGACATGGTTTATAAGAAGAACGTGACATCACGCATACGAGGAGACACGTGTGAGTGATATATGACGTATGACATCGGGCATATTAGTAGCGGTGTCATTTGCTAACATGGATTGCATAACGTAATTGACGGGGTGAGCTTCCTACAAGCCAATGTGTACGGATGACATTTGCAAATAATTGTCCGCAGTCAGCCGTAATTGTGCTTCGTAACCCAACATGTGACAGGGAGTTGGCGCCGATGCGATAGATGAGAATGTAATGTATACGGAATGCCGTTTTCCATGTATCGTTCGGCGTATGCTCAACCTTTAGACGACATTTGTGGAACTTGCATGGTTGGCGTTCCATCATCGTGGTGGATGGTTTCCGTCATTCATTCATTCGTCAATCAACCTTTATGGGTCTCTTACGCCGACGTTCTGTATGTCATCAGGTCAGCGCACAGCAGCTTCTAGATAACTGCCCAGCTGTCAGTTACCTGTCTTTAACATGGAAGTAATAGGAGTGCAGGTTCCTTACTGGCTTTTCCATATTTTCTGCTACCTGTGTAGTGTCCCGTTAGCACGCTAAAATCATTTGACTATCTGCGCGTTGCTTTTTTTAGTCTCTAGGCTCTTAACTAATTAGAAACCATATCGCATGCCTGCGCTGCTCCCGTTTGCAGAGGTTGCATCATGGAACCTCATCTCTCTTTTGTCCAGCCAACAATTGAAGTATTCATGGTTCGCCACGCCACCTTTGTATACCATCATTTATATATGCATCAGTACACCAATGACAACTACGTGTACCGTAGTTTCTGTCTCTTGCCGCCTTATGCCGGCCCGCGCTTCCTTGCTAATGCGCAACATGCACATCAAGCGCAGGCACACCGTGGATATCAAGCAACAGGTAATCACTTTAAATGTCTAAATGAAATATCATAAAGACAATAAAGTATACCGAAGCAGCGTAATAACTCTTCGCAGAATTAGCATATTGAGGTAAATGGGTTAGCAAAGAATCCGCGATAAGGAGAAAATGTCCACAAGCTGTTCTAAAATGTTACAAAGGGAACAAAATTTACGGAAGATAAGGGTAATTAGCCTAATGGACGTGTCCAGGTGATGGAAAGCCATTAACATAGTCAAAAGTCGCCAAGTGAAGTGGAGTGAAATGTATGCAGCTTAAAGAGACGTGGTTTCAGTGTAAGTTGGTTTATCCCAACTGCGGTGAAGATGCATCAAGAATGCAACATCACCGTTATCATGGGGCACACATATATATATATATATATATATATATATATATATATATATATATATATATATATATACATAAATATATATAACTGCATGGTTGGGGGCATCGTGTTACTGATTTGCCTGTCACTGTGTGCACACACACGACGCCTGCGGCTGCAGAGGGACCATGGATGGCTTGCGCGGCAACACGCACAGCCCCCACCACTCACCACATATGCAGTGTAAACCCAAAGTAATAAGACCTGCAGGCATGGGGATGGTAGCCCCGTGTCATCAACGGAACCGGCCCACACTTCTTCACAGACGAACACAAGCACCCGGTATATCGGAAATGAAGAGCACACATGTCGTTGGCTTGACGGTATACCGCTGTACACGGAGTGCATGTGACCTCTCTTCGTGTCTAGCACGGTCACACGGACGGTTTACCTCTTCCCCCCATCCTCGACCAACGGTATCCTGTAGGGGGTATGGACGAGGTGGTGTGTACTTAGCAGGTAGTCACGTTGTCAACATTCACATCAACCGCAGCCACAACGGGGGATATGAAGGAGCGGCCAATGACCTGGAACTACAACATGAAAGAAAGCCAATGCCGTCATGCATACAGATACAGTGGCATAACTCTAAGGTATATAAACATATCAAGTAACTTTGTTGGCAACAAAGCCGAGATATGGAAATATGTCCACAAGTTAGGTAGAACTGCTACAAATGGGCGACAGAGTTAACGAAGGTAAGCGTGAATAATGTTACCTACGTGATATGACCGTATAAGAGTGATAAGTTATGGCGGTGGGCGATGCGTCGGAGTCAGGTAGGCGGCGGCAGTGAATGGACAAGCATTGGGCGGTGCATGTGCGCTAAACTGTAAAGTAACATTATAGAACAATGGCGTCGCTCACCTGGGAACATGGCGGTGGGCGATGCGTCGGAGTCAGGTAGGCGGCGGCAGTGAATGGGCAATCATTGGGCGGTGCGTGTGGGCATCACTGTAGAAACATTACGGAAGCATGCCGTCCCTTACCTGTGACAAGGTGGCATTGAAGGTTAACATGGCGGTGGGCGATGCGTCGTAGTCAGGTAGGCGGCGGCAGAGATTGGGCAATCATTGGGCAGTGCATGTGGGCATCACTGTAAAGCAATATTACAGAACAATGGCGTCCCTTACCTGCGAACAAGTGCGATTGAAGGTGAACATAGCGGTGGGCGATGCGTGGGAGTCAGGTACGTAGCGGCAGTGAAAGAACAATCATTGGGCGGTGCGTATGGGCTTCATTATAATAACACATGACAGCAGTATGGTTTTCATTACCTGTGAGCAACTCCGACTGCAGGTTGACATTGCGGTGTTGAATCCGTCACAGGTGCCTCATTGGCGCCAGAGAATGCGCAGCGTATGGGGGTGCATGTGGGCTTCACTGTAAAACACCACTGCACATAAACCGGATTTCTTACCTGGGAAATGCTGTCATGGCAGGTTCACATGACATTGCCAAAGCGACCAAGGTAGCTCCGTGTACCACATTGATCAGCACACCATCGGGGTTACAGGTGGGTTCAACTGCAGCACAAAATCACACATGTATCCTATTTCTTACCTCCGATGACATATGACAGCGCGTAATGGAATAACATTTCTCCGTGTGTATGCGTTCCCGTGATAATGGACAAGCATCAAGCAACGGAAGAAAATAAATGCGAGGATGCTTCCAGGAAATTTTACGTCCTGTCAGCATGTGTTACACACATTTATCCATCTACCTACCGGTACGTAATAGCTCATGCCCTGCCATTGACCCACTGCATACATGACAACCGCATTACGGTGCCTAAACGACCGTCCGTAAACGGAATACCAGTAGTAACTTACCGTTGCACGTTTCCTCCGTGCTGCACATGTATCGGTGCATTGTTCCATTGAAAATCAAAGGTGTTGATATCAAGGGGAAGTAAAGGCAGCATGCTATAAGGGAAATGAAATCACGGTTAGCGCACATATAAGGTACATACCTGAGCGGTGTGCCATGCAACGGCGATGAGGCACGTTACGGTTACCTTAGGACGAGCACGAGAAGCACAGAAATTCCTCCGAACCGGAATAGCACACGCAGGACGCGTGGTACCAGTGGGAGCACGCGTCGCACTGTACCCATTGCACCGATTCTCCATCGCCATCAACATCCTCCTCTTGCTGACATACTCCGCACAAATCCTTCGAAAGGAAGCCCTGAGTTCCCCGTCTCTGGCTCACAGGAACACGGTAGCCCCTGGATGTCCGAGTGCGAAGGATACGGAATCGTTTGCCCCTTAGCGCACTCTTATCCGGGCTGACCTCTGTCACCCTGCACTTAAGGGGCGATTTCCGTTTCCTGGACACACCTGTGGATGTGGATGGTACAGGTGTTTCGGTTTCATTCCCACGCACCGCCTCATTCACTTGCGTACCTTGCGAAGGGCCAACCGCTTCTCCCGTCGACGTCGGGCAGACCGCAGACGCTGAGCCAGCAGCAGACGTCCCCGCAGTAGGAAAGCCGCATAACATTCGCACGTTCTCCTCGGTATCCAAATGAAGGGGTACAGGCCACCTTGAGGTTCGCCCATACAACTGGAAAGTGGGGTCCTTGGACATCAGCAAGGCAACCATTTTGAGGTAATTCAAGACACCTGAGAAGTTCTGCGAGCCGTAGGTAACCAGTTGAGCACCAATGTCCCCTAAGACATGCTGCGTCCTGCGAAGTTTCAAGGTGCGGTTCAAAACTGCATCGCCATCCTCCGCGTTACGTTGCACAATCTGCACCCTCTCAGCTGACGCAACGGACTCCGATGACGCTGCTGCAGGTAGCCGGGGTGCGATCCAGCGACATCCATGAAGTATGTTCCGCGCAGCGTGAGGGTGCCGAGCCGCCACATAACAAATGTGAGCACATGGCAGCCGCCACTGCCGATGAAACTCACAATCGCATTCACTGCCCCGCGTTATGTACACTCTGCGCACTCTCGAACGAGGACAGTTCACCAACCAGTAAGGCCCATCAGCCCTACAACTGAGAACCGTCGAGGTACGGAAATGCTGCATGAAAACATCCCCCGCAAAGTCGCTTAGTTTGCAGAATACTGATGCGACTGAGGACACCTCCGATGGAACAGCAATTTCGCTCATGCACCGCCTACCTAGTATGCTGTTCCTTCGGTGCACCAGTGTGTTCACCCTATCAACCACGCAATTGAATAGGGTGAGTAGGGATGACCTCTCAGACAGGTATTCCTTCAAATGTCGGTTTTCATTCTCCACCCTGTTGGTGGTGTGGCAACCAAATAGAATGGTATCCCTGAGTCTGTGCGCCGCCCAAGAGTCGGCGTGGGGAATCCACGTCGCGCACAAATAACCGTACAATTCAGGAGACGCCCTGCCCACCGCGTTCAGTATGCTGTCAAACACCGAGGCGTCTCGTGTGTATATGAGGTTATGCAGCCAACCTCGTAATTGCATTCT